ATTAATAATACTCTTCTTAAGGTTTTGCTGGGTTTGCTATTTTAACAGTCTTTTCTCCTCCTCCCCCCCACCCAATCCCTGCATAACTGTGGAAAAGCCAACATCCCATTTTTAACTTAAGACAGTTTGAAAAGTATGATACAAGGAATAAAGAAGCAGTAAGAAGTTTGGAATAAAAAGGAGAGGAGAGAAGCAGAAAATCTTGATTAGAAAGTATAATTTAATAGAACATGTATTGAACCAAATGTATTGATTAATGTAGAAGATATAGTACTTATATTGATTCAAACTAGAGATTTAGTACTAAAAGCTGTAAGCCAAAAAGCTGTTGCAGATTGCTACAAAAGTCAGTTTAATGCTGTCCTTGAGAATGCCTTCACAAAGAAATTCTTCTAATGTTTGAGGAGTAGGTAGAATGCGGTATATGTCAGTTTGATCCCAGAGGGTTTTATTTTGTACTCTAATAGCTGTTACGAGCCTACATTATATCCAAGGAGTAATTTTCCTTAGGGGTGCCCAGCTCGCTTTGTGTCAATATTCTAGCATTTTAAGTCACGTACAGTATATGCTTCTGGGAACAGTGCAGGAGCCAGCCAGACTCATAATGGTCTGCATTCATTAATAAAGGCAGAAGCTTCAGTCCCTCTATTGCCCACTACAGGGATGCCTCCCTGGTCTTCAGGGACCCGTACAGACACATTTAAAGAAAGCTTTATTTTGAGTGGGCAGGAGATGAAATGTAGGACTTGCAGGCATTTCCTAAGTCAGCTATATGCCCGAGCACAGGGGTGACCTTAATGGGTCAAAGAAGAATGCAGGTCAAAAGACTTATTATCCAGCCTGTTGGAAACCAATTGCTTTTGTTAAAAAAAAAAATGTAGTGCTTAAAGGTTGATGGTAATGTAGAGTTCTGTTTTACAACCTGAAACTGTATCATAGTGCAATGGGGTTTAAAAAAAAAATAAAGATTATCTTTAATGTGTGCAGATAAAGGATTCCACATAAATGATAACATGTAGGGTCCCATAATTAGTTAATCAGTGGTGATTGATTACTGATGTTTGTGTTCCTGAACTAAGGAAAAAATAACATGCTGCCATAGTACTGTCACCATCTGTTGAAAGAATACATCCACATTTCATCTCTATATTTCTTTATTTGTACCCTCCGTGCACTGCGTCTCAGGTACGATTGTGTCCTATTTCATCTAGTTAAAAAAAAGTCTCATTTTAATTGAATGCAACTAGAGTTTACATTAGAGATTCTAACGGGATAGAAATCAGTGAATATTTTTCCTTCCTTATATTTGATGCAGTGCATGGTATTTTTTGCAAGCTTACACATCTTGTCTCTTTGAGATAAATAGAGATAAATATAGAAAGGCAACAAATAACAGGAAATTATTATTACTTTCTACTGTCTCAACCATTTTTGCAGAACAACCCAATTCTCTTTGTAGAAGAGATTTCTCCAGTTAGTGTTGTATTGAAATCTGGGTATGATTTTAACTCTGTAGCCTTAAGAACAGGGATTTCCCAAGGCTTTTTGCTCATGGAAAGTGGTGTAGTCTAATGGTTTAAAGCAGCTCACTGGGAGTTAGGATTCTGGGTTTATATCACTGGTTCTGCTAGAGAAATCTCAATCTCTAGAAACAGCATAAATACATTTTGAAAGTGTTTTTCTAGGTGAAATATGTTGAAGCCAAGTTCTCTCTGACTAAATGGCTATTTCCAGAATAAGATAGAGCTAGGGAAATAAGTTTTTTTTTTTTACAGGTTTCCTAGTTTTTTGTTTGCTTGCTTTATTTACTTATTTATTTTGTGGGAAACAAATGCAGTGGCAAAATGTCTTTTTTTTTTCACCATGTCTCTATTTCGTATGTGCATAGCCTGGACTTGTGTGTACAACATAGCTTTTCATCCTGAAATCAGAGGGGGTTTTTAAATTGCCCCATCCTCACTGGTGAGGCATGTACAGAATACTTTTCTCTTTCCATTGCTGAATACAAAATCAAAATTTTTGTTTCACAGAGAGACTGTATCTCTTACCTAACAAAAACAATTATATCTGTACTGTGCTGAGACGGGGGGATATTAGTATGTGTAGTCTTCAGCACTTTACTTGAGTTATAGACATGCAGCAAAGAAAAAAAAAAATCCCCTCCCCCACACACAACCAGTTGCTCCAAAATCAGGAAAGATATTTAAGAGTTTCTGAAAGAGATTTTTTTTTTAATTTCTGCTCTTAAATGTGATGTATCAGTTGTTGTGGGCCACTTCTGCTCTCACAGCCACATAGCTGTTCTTAGCACTAACATTGGGCTCTCCCTGAGTGCACAGGACTGCCATGATCATGTCCAAGGGAGCTTCACATTGTTTTTCTACATGGGCAAACTTCCACTGTCATGAAAGTAGGAGCTCTGTACACAATAGGGATTGCAGAATATCAGATTCAGGATCTGCTGGGTGGTTAATAGAGAAGAGTTTTGCCCTAAATTTTTAAACACAGCACCCCTCATAAAAGCAACAACAGTTCATAACTGGGATTAATGTTTGCAATTTTCAGTCACTTAGCCATGGGGTCTCCAATAGATGGCTTTTTGTAGAATGGAATATGGCTCTCTGTGGGATTACAGATTTTTCCTCCTTTTCTGATCTCGCCTCTCCCATCCTTTGTCCACTTGTCTGGTCAGTGTTATGGCCCTGATGTGCTTTCACTTTTAGTTTATGAAAAAGCCTGTCTTTTGTGAAACTGAACAGGTATTTCTCCCTACCTTACAGTTGTCTAAAACACCTTTGGGGAGCACTGCTTGTTCTAGGAAACCTGAGCAATGGTGTCCTGTTTTGTTTGTTTAAGATAAGTTCCATTGCATGATTAAGGCCTAAGCTCCATAAGCTCTTTGTATTGGGTTTCTTCCAGTCCTGCCCTATTCAGCCTTTTTCTTCACTATCCTTTTTTTCTTAATTATCTCTTCATTATCCCTGAAGAATCTCATTTTGCATCAGGCACTATGGTCTGGGCCACTGAGTGGAAGGGTGAGCAGGTCCTCATTCTGTGATTTGTTTTCTCTCTTTCACTTTTGTGCCTTTTTATTTTTTAATAAAAAATGTCACTGCAGCGGTAGCGCTGAGTACACATACAGAGCACCTTTCAATTGTTTCACATACTGCTGCACAGCTCTTCCAGACTCCAAACTGATTATGTGTAGCTCAGTCAAAAAAAGCAGGGACAACTGACATGCATTTACTTTTGAGTAGATTCAAACATAAAGACACCCCAAATCCTTATTCAAAATAGCAATTTGGCTCTGACTTTAAGCAGTCAAAACCAGGGGCCATCAGAATTCTGACTGTCACCCGAAGTTTAACTTGTCCCTTTGTTTCTGGAGACTGCAGGGTCTCAAATCCGTCTGTGGGTTATATGCCGCAAGTGCAGCAATAATGGACACAATAGGATGACAAAAAGGCAGACTGTCAGATTTAACTCTTAATTTCCTTGCTCTTGTGGTTTAAAGTCAGAGCCCATTACCTGTGACTGGCCAACATTTTAGTGTGGGTGTATTGTTACAGCTTTACAGTGTTTTGAAATGAGCTTTTGAAAAAGATGCTATATGAAATCAAATGGCATGATATGTATGTATTAGATCATATATATATATAATTTATTATGCCATTTTATTTATTTATTTATTTATTTAACTCTTTGGCCTTGGAAGATCTGGAATGCCTGCCACCAGCATTAAATCATTTTGCATTCACATCTGGAAATCATGTCTTCAAGTGTCAATGGGTCATTTTCCTTTTCATCTTGAGAATGGCACTACTTTAAGAATTCCTGCCTTACTCTGTGAGCCTTTTCTTGCCAAATGTCCCATGAACTATTGTGTGTACGCGTGCACAGCTTTATATTTGTCTAAGGCTGTTAGATTAGCATAGAATCAGACTGTATTTCACATTTGTTTTGCTGTGGCTGTTTTTATGTTTATATTCATGGGTGGCTCTTAAGCGTATGGTTCAGTAGGTGTTCGCTTCACTGAAAATGATGGCTATCTTTTGGGAATAGGTTCATTTTAAAGTGCTTTAGTCCAGAAGAGTTTGAATTAAAACTGATAAAATGAAGGGACTGTACAGTTTAGAAACTGATAATGGGGCACAACTGGTTTCACCTCCAGGTTGCCAGTTCAAATCTGGCCTGCATTGATGATTGCAAAGTCATTACCCTCTGGTGTCTATTCTGTTTTCTCTGAACTGAGATTGCAGGCTTTGTCCAGTTTTCGGTGGACACTGTTAATGTTGCAGAAGACCTAGCATTCACTGGGAACCTTCTCTTATTTGGACAATAATGAGTATGAGTGATCAGAGAGGGTAAAGTACCATCTCACCCAAAGACACATCAGTCTCTGAGCCTATATCACCTTATGCAAGGCAGTACATTCACTTAAGGATATGAGAGTTTGAATTGTTGTTTGATAAATCAAAGAATCTTTCTGGCTTCCCCTTCACAATTTTTGGTCAGCCAAGTGAGCATTACAGTGCCCTTTCAACTTTAAAATACTCTGTCGCTGATCAGGGGAAAGCTATGTTTGGTTGCATGTTATAGCAAGGAAGTTAAAATGAGCATGTTTCTGGTTTGTTGGCATTATAGCAAGTAAGGGAAAGAAATGTTTGGCTCATTATGCATTACAGGCTAAATTCAACAGCATGGGAGTGGGCACTGTGGTTAGTGAACTTGCATTCACTTCCACCAGGGCCTATTTGACCTAATGGACTTTAAGGCATTCCAGTGCCATTCTCATGACTTACGAAATAATACCAGTGCAAAGATGCGAACAGAGAGCTCTCTTCTGTTAACATCAAAGTTTATTTAGGCCATTTTACAGAGATGGCAAATATGTTGTCCTCATGGACATTATTCTGTATACTGTTAGTAGAATTTTTAGCACAGCTGCATGTAGCAATGCCTATCCTATAACTAAGCTCTCTTTTCTGTTTTTATTCCAGAATCATACGATGACCCAACATAGCAGTTAGTGCAAGGCCCATCTCTTCAAGAGAATTCTTTGTGGCACAAAAAGGGAACACATTTTACTCTTTGCACGAAACTTTCATTGTTAATGTATATTATTCAGAAACATTGTATTGTACCATAAAACTTGTATTATCGAAACTGTTGGATGTTCATGTGTTTGAACTTTTGAGCACCGGATAGGCTTCCTGTATATAAAGTGTTGCACATGTATTATGTTGTCTGATACTAAAATGGTCTTATAAAGACAAGTGGACTTGGGCCCTATTCAAGAAAGATAAAATAATAATAATACTGTGTGAGGAAAAAAAGGCTTAAGAAAATGTGTCATTTTTGAGGAAGAGGGAGAAAAAAAATAACTGTTACCTTACAGCTGTGTTTGGCCTTCCTTTCATTTAAACTTAAGTCTAAAATATCTCTCTTTTGGTATACAAACAGATGAATCCAAGACTATTTTTTATTGCTGAAGATTCTTGCAAAAAATATGAGAAGGCTTTCTCACAGAGCAAGACCCCACCATTGAATAAGGCCCGTATATATATTTGTAAGCCTTGCGATATGACAAATAGCATTACCATATATGCAATAGTTGTTATGTAGATTGTCAAAGAAACTTTTTTTTTCCTGGATACCATTTGAAGCTTTGAGTGTTCAAGACTTTCCTTAATGATTTCACACAGCCAAATTCTTGAATCAGTTGAACTAACCTGTATGTTACTGTTATTAATGTTTACTCTGCGGTCTGAACCTGGAGATTACTGGAATTGTTTTCCAAGAGGAAATAAATTCAGTTTACCATTATGTGTGTGTTGTGTCTTATCTTTTTCCTATTTCAGTGCCATTATTATTATTAACATTCATTGTGTTTATTATGGTCACTTCTAAGGGTCAGCCACATTTCCATTTTACCAGGAAGTATACAAATGCAGAGGCAGCAGATGGTCCCTACCCCTATACCCTTCCATTTTAAATAGAAAAGACATTAGGCTCATAGAATCATAGAAAAGTAGGGCTTGAAAAGACCTCAGGAACTCATCTAGGATTGTAGGAAAGTAAGGACTGGAAGGGACCTCACAAAGTCATCTAGTCCAGCAGCCTGCTCAAGGCAGGACCATCCCTGACTAAATCATCCCAGCCAATGGCTATGTCTAAACGCTCTTAAGAACATACAAGGATATAGATTCCACAATTTCTATAGGTAGTCTGTTCCAAAGCTTGGTCACCCTCATAGTCAGAATGTTCCTCCTAGTTTCCAAACTAAATTTCGCATCTTGAAGCTTGAGGCCATTGTTCTTAGTCCTGTCTCTTATGGCCCAAAGGAAAGCCCATCTCCATCCCCTCTGTAATTGCCTTTCAGGTATTTGAAGATGATTATCAAACCCTGCGTTAGTCTTCTCTTGTCCAGACTTGGTTCTTTTTAGCCTTTCCTCAAACCCTTGTCGAGGCAGGATTCTCCCTATCCCTCTCTCATACAAGTGTTAGGCTAACCAGTCCTTAAAACTGCATGAACTCTCATACAACTACCAGGTGTAACAACCAAAACCATCAAAAACACCCTCATCTAAAAGGGTGAGAACACCCTTGCCACAGCTAAAGCAAGGTGAGAACACTTACAACATCCTGCCAGGAGCAGTTGTTAAAATCCACTTGAGATATCCAAACTCATTTGCTACTTTCACTGCTAGTGGGTCACCATACATCTGAATTGCCAAATTATTTTTATATTTCAGTTCTGGTGCAAGCCATCATAGGCATCTTCCGGCCTTGGGGGCTGGAGGCAGGAGAGAAGACTTAGAATCAGGAACCTCCTCAGTTCTAATCCCAGCTCTGATAATGACTCTGTTAACCTCATGTCCCTTAACTTCTGTGCTGGGATAGATGGCAGAAGGCAGTGTGGCTAAAGTATGCTACTTATATGATGCTCTCCACTGACAAAACAGCCCTTATGGGGTTGCAACGAGATAGTGCAACTTAAAGCAACCTTGCTGGGGGCTGAATTGCCCCCTAGATACCTTCAATACTGAAAGGAAAGGAAAAGTAATAGAAAGCCATCATTGCCCACCAGTGTGCCAAGCACTGTTCAAGCTCACCTGAGGACTAATGCCAAAGGCGTTCTTTAGATATTTTGGCATCACCTATCCTATTGCTCCAGTTGCTGGCCTCATCCTATTGAAACTAGCATTGCTGAAATACTGCAGTTTTAGAATTGCACATCACAACAGTCCAAATGGCTGGAGCTGCTTGCCTATTGCTGTCAGGGGAGATATAAAGGGTAATTTCCACTTTGCTGAATGTCACATTTTGACTCTCCACAGATGGAGAGTGGAGGGGATAGAAGTAAAGTATGAAAGTCTCTGGTTGCCAGATATTTCAAGGAAAATGTGTCACGTTTAAAACTCCAGCCTCAAGAATTTTATGCATATAATGCTGAGTACAAAAAAAAAAGAAATTTTATATGAAAATCTCATTTATGCTGACAAAAGGATAAACAAAGGCAACAGTACACAAGGCTTGTAAAATGCCAGATCTATTTATAAGTCAGAAACTGTTCCCATTTTTATTCTCATTAATATATTACTCATCTCAGCCAAATTGGATGTGATGATATGTTCTTTATTCCTGACAGATACCTTACAGGATAGAAGACATTTCAGCCTTCATGTGTGAAAGTGTGACATATTGGTTGAGACTGAAAATAGCATGTTTCTCATAGAGTTCAAGTATATAAGAAATATTACACCCTACTGTTTTTGTAAATGCCAGAGTGCCACTGAGTTGAGACAGATGGTAGCTGGGAAAGATGCAATCTTATAATCAAAAGCTAAAATATGTCAAAAATATGTTAGCAAGCAAAACATAGCATATTACTAGCTTCTCATGTCATGACAGCTTGCAAAACATGCAAAGATGTTGAATTTCTAGTTATGTAAATAAAGTAACAGTAAATAGAGCAGCAGCAAATGTGATGAAGGCTTTATGCATTGATTGTCCCTTCAGTTTAGTGCCGAGGAATAGGAAGGTCTTATGGTCACATTCAGCCCCAGATGGATTCTAAGAGCTGGTTGCTAGTATCAAGTGCTGGAATCCTCTTACCTTTTTGTGAGTAACAGGTTTCTTAGTGATACCTAAAAAGCCATTTAAATAGATTATGGAAGACATCTAAACTTCCCAGTGAGAGTTGACTGTTCCACTGGGATTTATCACAGCATTTAGAAAAACAACAAGAGACATATATCGTCTTGCTCAATACAAAAATACACAAGGTATGTATGTGTGTGTGAGAGAGAGAGAGAAAAAGAGCGCATGAGCTAGGTCATGCTGTCTACCTTGCCTCCCTATTTCCACCCCCACCTCCAAGTCAGGAAAAGCTACAATAAAAGGGCTCATCTTAGTATCTATACTATAATGTGAAAGGGGACATCTATTTTTAAAGGGATGTGCAGATACAGTGATAGAAAAACTATTCATTCACCTCTGAGACTGTCTTCCTTCCATCATTTCTAATGGACATGTGTTTTACTGTAATAGTTTACTAAAATTATTATTACTCGTGTTTTGTTGCCAGATCTTCATTCAGGTCGCAAAGAGTATACAGAACATATATTGCAGAAGTGAAATGATGTTTCCAAATAGCATTGGAGCACAGGACTTACGAGGAAACACAGCAGTGCCAGCTATGTCATACACGTGCCGTACTAAAGATGACCTAAGAATGAACAAGAACTAATCTTTAGGTTTCCAAATGCCCAAGGACAGGAACTTTTGCCAAAATGTTTATACTTGTTTGACAAAGTTTAAGCATGTAAATAAAAAGGAAATAAACACTTGACACGCCTATTGAGGTTGGTGCTTGTCATTGCTTCCCTGATACACTACCCGAACACAATAGCATAACTTGGGGTGTGCCAGTCCTAGGCACGCACTCACACAGGGCACCAGAATGTTGCTTCCTTGGACAGTCTATGCCACAGTTGGAGCAGCAAGAGCTGGGGTGTACAGACTGCTCTGCAGCAGCTGGGGTCTTTGAGTCCCTGGGGCATGTGACACTTCCCCTCCCCAGCCATCCCTCTTCCCTTCCCCAGCCTCCCTCTCTCCTCCCCCTCTCCCCTCCCATAAGGTTAGACCAGACCTGGCCCCAACTCTGGCAGGGTTCAGCTAGTTACGCCTCTGCTAGAACAGTATTCTCATGCCCGTTCCTCATTTTGGCAGCATCCCTTATATAAAAAAATGATTATGCCCGACAAAAGCCCCGAGGGTAATACTTTATAACTATTTCTAAAATGGCAGAATCCAAGATGGAATCCTGACATGACAGACCATCCTTTTTTTTTTTTTTGCTTTGTTTCACTAACACTGTCCTCAACAAAAAGGAGAGGGAGCCGTCCCTTCCATATCAACATATGGTACCTTCTATTTATAACAAGATTAACAATTCATTCACACCTTGATTGAATCCCGCTTTATTGAGATGTCACAACAGATTCTCACAGCCTGCAAAGGGAAAGACTTACAAATGTTAATATTGTGACAACCAAGACACATAAAAGTAAATGAATCATAATTGGCAACAATTAGAAATAGCTCAGTATGAAAACAGAATACCGTGCGCTGCTGTAAGTAAGGCGAAACAGTGTGAAGGACGCCTCTGAATGATCCTGTCCATAAATTCAGAAATGAAACCCTGATTCCACTGTAATGCATTCATTCATACATTACTGCTCAATTAATGTTCAAAGGGTTTTTACGTCTTGGTGGTAAATGTACCATTCTCTTAAAAATGTTTGCTCCACTGGTTCTGTAGCGGCACATGGGTTACCAAGTCAGGCATTTTACTAAACACACTCGTTACACAAGCTCTCCCTTTATTTTTTCCCTTTCTTTATTTGTATGTATACAGGGTTTTAATATTATTATTAATATTGGTGAACTGTGAATGCTATACTAATAGACTCCCTGAGGAAGCTGGTAGTCCCCGGCCACCAACTCTGGTGTGCAGAACTTCTTCTGTGTGTGGAGCACAAAACATGACAAAGTCTCACTCATGTTTCAAAGCTCTCTCTCTTTTCAGAGCTATTTGTTATTGTCTCCACCATCACAAGTTTAAAAAAGGAAAGTTAATTAAATATGGAACAAGACTGAGCAACATCTTTTAAACCATCATGTCATTAGAACTGGATTCCTCTGAGAGCTGCTTAAAAGGGGTTTGAGAACAATGACTGTTCAATCAGATATTTATGGGCATAGTTATGTAAACACACTCTTTATTGTCTATGTATATTTAATATAATTATCAGTTTTGTACTTGGACTCTCAAGAGACCCAACAAATCACAGTGTTGCTTTGAAAATGTCAGCAGAAAAGACAATTATGTTGCTAGCAAATATTCATAAATTATATTAAAAAGTCCTGTGAAAATGTATCCTATGTTGCAGAACTCTTTGCACCAACAGAATAATTACTATATTTCTTTGATTTAAAATCTTCTTGTAAGTAACAGGGAAGGTATTTGAAGGTATTTGAAAACCCTCGAAGACAAAAGAGCTTACTATTCTTTCTTTACAATTAGGACGCTGTAAAATTAATAGATTTTAATAGTGTTTTGCTTTTAATATATTGTTTTGCTTTTCTTCTAGGTAGGTTTTAGTGGAAAGAGAAATGCAACCAATTCTGTACAAATGGTAATATGCAGCCTCATGTTGGGTTTTTTTCCTTTTTAAGAGTCTTGATAATTTTTTGCAATTGTTTTTTACTTTCTCTTTTGCTCATTATATGTTAGAGAAAATAAGTGGAGAACTGGGAGAGTGCTCAGTAAATTAAA